CAGATCTAGAGGCACAGATATCAGCTCAGATTGAGGAATTGGAGGGCAGAGTTCGTTACATTCACTTACACAATTACCCTTGGGAAAGCTATGAATCCATCTTTTCTAACCCCCACCCAAGCTATGGGTAAATAGCAGGACAGACTGGGTTCTATAGCTTTGGATGGCAACCAATTTAGAAGGACAACTCTGCGTTCAAAACCTACAGCTAGACACGGTGGAGTAAAGGATAGTGGCTTGGATTGAGGAATCAGAGAGCCGAGTTTCAATTCCACTCAAATCCATTACATTCACTTACACAAATACCCTTGGGAAAGATATGAATCCTCTTCTTCTCTCCTCATGGGGAAGAAGAAGAGGATTCATGGGATGGGTAAATAGCAGAACAGACCGGGTTCTATAGGCTTGGATGGCAACTGGTCTACTGCAGAAAGAAATGGCAACCTACTGGGGGTAAAAAATCTGCCTCATCAGTCATGTAGTGAAAGATGCATGATCGCCTAAGTGTGTATCATGCATGGCACATAACTGACTGACTGAAGTGACTTAAACTAAGATCAAAGAATAGAAGTGAATCAATTGCTAGGTCTGCTTCTAGGAAAGTTGGTTCACTGTGTTGTGCAAGACAATTTTTCTTGCTAGAATCTATTTTACACATTTATAAGTGCTCCTGTAATATATTTAGAGATTCTGGATGAAATCCAACGAAGAATCTGCAATGTTATTGGTCCTGACCAGACACTTTTCCACTGTCATAAATATTTTCATGGTAATTGTTTTGAAGTTTCCCCTTTGGTACCTGTCCTAGATGAATTTAAGCGCAGTACTAGATTGGTGGAAAGGTTTCAACATTTTATACTTGAAATTGCTAGATGTAACTGTAAGTTCTATGCTAACAGTTTCTTCTATCACACTTGTGGAAATCACTTCTTGCTTCCCAGTCAACTTTGATTTTCCAAAATTTAAATGCAATGTCAATCGTCATCATTTGTTTTTTTTTAATTCTTGTTCTTTTATTGTTCTCTCTTCTAAATTTATTTTTTTCTCAAGTTCAAGGAAGGAAGACGTAGAATTGTTGTCAAGGAAGGAAGGCGTAGAATTGTTGTCAAGGAAGGAAGGCTTAGAATTATAAAATACTGTCTTATTCTTTGTAAAAAGGAGTTTTCAGGTCATAAATGAAGTAGTGGTCAACTACATTTGTAGCAACCCTGTGACTAACGCATTTAGCTATAATGTCTTACATGAGTGACTTATTTACATGTGTTTGTGTCATTTAATGAATATACAAGCACATATACACACTAATTTGACTAAGTTTGAAAAATAAGACATTGGCATAATACATTGGCTGAGTAGTAAATCAAAGTTAAAGACTATAAAATAAAATTTTTAAGTTTTTAAAACTAAAAGATCAGAATTATAAGACATTATTGAACTTTTCAGAAATTGTTCAGTAATAAATAAAAACATTATACCTACCTATATTTACCCATTCAGTTATGTGTGTCTGTATATATGTATATATATAAAATTGTGTATTTGGGCAGCAATCCCTCTTTTATACAAGTTTCATTAAATACAACTAACAAAGTACTCTCAGCGGCATCTTGCATCTTAGTGGCTTACAGCCACATCACATTGAAACATCAGTTCATGTACAATCACCATAGTTAAGCAACATCAAGCCTGATCAACACCTAGATGGTTGACCGCATGGGAACACCAGGTGCTGTAAGCTTGGATGTGTGGGTGGTGTAATAGATAATGGTTTGGAATATTTCCAATTCCCATTGGGTTTTTTGTATTCACTTACATGCAAATACCCTTGGGAAAGATATGAATCCACCATTTCTCCCCCAACTATGGGTTAATTAGTAAGATTTGTATCACTAAACCATTATTACTTTAAAAAAAATTCTTACACCCTAAAATTATTTTCAGGCTTTAAATAACCTGCGAAGAGTTGATAAACCATAGGAAATGAATCCATTAATAAAAACAATTGTGTCTTAGTGACTTTATTGCCTTGCTTGTGGTGGAATGATTAAAAAATACATCTGTAGGATTTGTCTATAAATTTGGGGAGGTGATGTTTCATACTGATTGGAACTAGCAATTTTTGTTTAATAAACCAAACATTTTTTTCCCATGGGAAATAAAGAATTACTCACAGCTAGCAAATTTTCATCACTCCTAGAATTAAATATAACTGTAACACCATATGCTATGAAATATCAGCTTCGTTTTCGTCTAACACTTACTCTCTTGAGAAATGGTTTCTGTGACGAAAGAAACATGCTGTACAAACACTTTAGTTTGATAAATTCTTTCATTTTGAAAGTCGTTTTAGATTTTTAATTTTCATATCTGAATCTCGATATCTACATAAACACTTTACTATTTTTGTTAATGCTTGGCTGAATACAAAAAAGTCCCGTGTTTTGTAAGAAAATTTGGCTTGATAGATTTAATTATGAGCTTGCCGTTTATTTAGTTCATAAATCTAACAAGTAAATATTTTCATAGCTAAATTTCTGGGCTGAAGATTTATCCATATTTACATTCTAATGTCATCATCTTTGTATAGTTGGATTCACTATAATCACTTTCATGCAAAATACCCTTGGAAAAGGTATGAATACACCTCCCCCAGCTAGGGGTTAATTAGTAAGACATATTTTTAAATACTTATTATGCCCTCCGCCCAATATTTTCTGGTTTTAAATAACCTGCAATCATCATCTTTCCTCCTTCCTGCCACCTCCCCTTTCATTCATATCACACAGCTCATTCACCATAACTATTTTCTCAACTTGTGTATTGGGTTAATTTTCTGTCTGGATTTCAAGGATGAGGAGTTATTGTCATTTATATTATTTATATTCAGACTATATTGAAATACACGTGAGGAAGGTTCGAGGGTACAACCGTCAAAATATTGTGATAACAACAACAAAGATGAGGACAACTGTCCAAATATAAATAATGTAAATAACGGGTGAGTTTTAATATAAATTTTATAATTTTAGCAAGAGAATTAAATTAAGAAAATAGAATTGGAGCAAAAAGATTGATTTTATCTGAATATTTACCTTGGGAATTACAACTGAGAAATAATAGGATTGTAATGTTGCATTTGTGGAAATGTTACTGCAGACTGGAGAATAAGTCTATCCCCTCCCCCAAAATGCTGGAAAGTTAGGATTGTACCATTCTAGCTAAGATATGGCAAGAATACTCTATTTTTGGTCTGATCTGATTCTTTCATAAGGAATCAATTACCCCCCAAAAATCCCAACCAGGAGGCCCAACCCTGATTGAGGGCTTTGTGACCCTCGCTATTTTATCAGCATTTCATTTTTTCTATCTACATTTATATACGTTACATCTTAAACTAAGCGTAACTGACTATTAATGGATGAAAAATTGTCTTGAATTTTGATATTATTCTGGTGTTTTCGGAGGGGGGGGTTGTTTTTTGTTAATATTTTTTTTTTTGTTTTTTGTTATTTTTATTTTTATTTTTTTTATTTTTGGTATTTTGTTTTTGTTTTTTTGTTTTTTGGACGGGGGGGGGGTCCCCCCACAAATCCATGAATGTATTTTGCTCATGCTAAGTCTCAGAGAAACACTGCATAAAATTTTTTATGGATAATATTGAAAGTATTAAAATTATTCAAGAAAACTTTCAGGTTGATGTTAAAAATTGCTGCCAGACATTAACCTATTTAAGATGGAATGATCTATTATAACATGTCTCTAATTTGTATTAAGATAGATTGTATTTATTTTCAATTTTTCCAGTTGATTTGTTCACCTACATTGCATATGATCCACTTCTGTTCATAATTAGGTTACAATAAAATCCATATTTTATATGAATACTAGCTTATAAAAATTAAGATTTACTAAAGTGTGGACGTCATATCACAGATTAGGAGGAGACACAAGTCTCTTGCACTGACCCTGCTTCCTGGACCAAAACAATAAGTTGTTACTTAAGTATTCTTCATGCAAAATTTCTGGCATGAAAATATCCATGACACAAGTTTTATTACTGTTATGGTGCGGTTCCTTGTACCACGGTGATAGTCCAAGGTAGAACCAATAAAGAAGAACTCGAACACAGGAATGGAATAACACAGATATATTACAAACAGGAATATATACAGAGAAGTAGAAGTGTTAGTATGAACAATCAGGTTTAGTAGAGAGAACAATGTAGTCTCGACCAGTATCACTATTCCAATGTCTTGCAGTAATTGTCTGAACTGCCTCTGACTCAACTTGAACTACTGACTCTGCTGGAACTACTGACGATATTCAGTCACCCCCCATGACGGCGTTATGTGGCACAAGGCTGGTTTAAAGTGGGATCTCTGAGCCTGTGGGCTCGGCCAAAAATATGCCCATTGAACCCGTATAAATGGGTTCAGGGTCGGTTTACCTCCCCAAAAGAGAATCCTCCCTTCAGCGTAGCCTCCTTTGGGTTCCTCCCCGCCAGAAGGCAGAGAGTTCAGTCGGTCGAGACTTGAACGACTGACGATATTCAGTCCCCCCCTCCCCCACGAGAGTGTCATGTGGCACAAGGCCAGTTTAACTTGGGATCGCCGAGCCCGTGGGCCCGGCCAAAAATATGCCTATTGAACCCGTATAAACGGGTTCAGGGTCGGTTTACCTCCCCGAAAGAGAATCCACCCTTTGGCGTAGCCTTCTTCAGGTTCCTCCCTGCCCGAAGGCAGAGAGTTCAACCGATCTGTCGTTCAAGACTTGATCGACGGACTCCTTGCCTACTTCTGAGGCACAGTATTTATTAAGTATGGAATAGTCCATTATTATTATTATGGGTATGATCCCGTAACAATTACATTGCTAAAAGTTAAAAGATTGTGAATGTGACTCTCTAAAACATAATCTCAAAAAAATTGCCTCGCTTGGCCGTAAAACAATTTAAAATCTAAACTGCATCTCTTTTCTTTCTTTTTTTGTTCACTTTACAGACATTTTGGTGATGACTGGAGACTTGGTTGATGGCACTGTAGAAATTTTGAGGTCTGCTGTAGAACCAATGAAAGACATCAAGGCAGTCCATGAAAAGTTCTTCATCACAGGTAACACTGGCATCTTGATTCCACTCTTTCAACAAAGATCAAATGCTAAAAATAATTGTCTACATTATTTAAATTAGGACTAATATCCTCGTCTTTGTAATTCTGACAGTGTTTCAGAGTTACCATGGTAACAAACTTTTCCTTTGATTTTTATCGGTTATGTTTTGATAATGCTTGCATGAAAGGAGTGAAATGTTAAAAAATATTAAATATTCCACTTTCACATTCAATTTTAAATACTTTGTTTGGACATTTCATATCAATCATTTCCCATATATATATATATATATAGAGAGAGAGAGAGAGATATTAATCAAAATAAAAAATAATTCAAGACATATCTTCAGATTGACTTCAAGTTTTGCAGAGCCAAATAAATGGATTTTTCTCAGCTTGATGATTAGTGTATCTGTGAAACTTGAAGTCAGTCCTAAGATAAGTCTTTTGAATTTTTTCTTATATTGACAATTTTTGGTCTATTTCTGATATTGTATGCTTTCTTTACAAAAATCTGCTCACATTTAAATACATTAAATTTTTGTAATTTATGTTTTTGTAAGGCATAATACATTTATATAGTGTTATTATTTTTTTTATTATTATCAACACCATTATATATATATATATATATATATATATATATACACACACACAGAAAGGCACACATATACGCACAGACATAAATATATGTATACATGCACATATATATACACATACATAGATATATAATATATATACACATGCATACATACACAATGACACACATATATATATATATAGACACACAAATGTAAATATATACACATACATGTATATTCACATATATATACAGATACATATGTGTGTGTGTGTGTATATATATATATATAAATATAAATAAATATAGGTAACTACACTCGTCTCGGAAAACCTTCGGTTTCTTGATTTGCTAATGGTCAAATGAATCTCGAAGGAAAAAAAGGTTTTAAAAAAAGAAAGAGCTATGAACATGAACGTCTGTCGAAAAAAATCGTACAGCATACAGGTCCAAATCCCAAAGAAAAAAACCCCGATACGAGTGATCAGCTAACTTAAAAGTGCTCAATACAAAAGTAGAGCAGACCCAGTCAAACCTAGAGAGCCAGACAAACCTACCAAGGTTTCACCTTGGACATGAGTAGAGGCTTACGCCTTGTTTCTTGTTTAGGAAGGGGTTTCCAGTCTCTCTCTCTCTCTCTCTCTCTCTCTCTCTCTCTCTCACTGGCCTCTGTATCTCCAGTTGCCTTGATCTATCCACTACTCTTCTCCTCATCCTTTCTTCTATCACTCCCTATCTGATCTTGCTCCAAATTTTCTGTAACCCCTTCATGCCTTAGTGGCTTTTCCGCCTTGCTTGGGGGTGAACGCTAAAAAAAAAAACCTAAGCAGATTGTCAAGGAAAGCTTTCCCTGACAATCCGCTTAGGTGAAACCTTGGTAGGTTTGTCTGGCTCTCTAGGTTTGACTATATATATATATATATATATATATATATATATATATATATATATATATATATATAAATATATGACAAAAATAAAATGAAATTAACAACACTCAGTGACAAACCCCTTGAAAATTGAATTTTAGTAATTTATGTGTTTTTGTTAGATATATTATATTTTTTAATTATTATTATCATCATTATTATATATATATATATATATATATATATATATATATATATATATATATATATATATTTTTCTTTTGCCTGAACAGGTAACCATGAATATTATACTGGTGATGTTGATCACTGGTTTCAACACTTGACCCAACTAGGTTACACGGTTCTACACAATTCAAATGTCAAACTTCCCAGGACAGGTGTAAAAGCAGCTCAGCAATTTTGTCTGGCTGGGGTCGATGATATTGATGCTGTTCACATGGGGTAAGTCAAAATTACCATTTTATGCCTGCCAACCAAAGAGCTGATAATCATCTGCTTGTCTGTGGTGATTTACTCACAGTACCTTATTTTCCTGCAATGTAACAGGTATTAGTTTAGGAAGTAATATGTGGATTTGAGTGGATGGTTATTTTTTTTTTTATATTTTAACATTTTAATACTTTTCTGGGGGCTACAAAATTTCAGTATTGCAGGAGACAAAAGATATATAAAGAAACAATCTAAGAGTGAAATGAATGTAACATTGCTTGTGTAAAGGGAAAGAGAATAAGTTACAAAAGAACAGGTAAACCGATTGTTGGAAATCTGTTCACCTGTTTTTCTGAAATACAATTTATTTGATAGGTCACTTGACAGTCACATAAAAGGAAAAAGAAACAGGATGAAGTGATGACTTCTCATTGGTTCATGAATTGACAAATCAGCAACTAGCTGGAGTAGGGAAGTTCTCTCACTCACTGTACCCTCTCCATCACTGACAAATAGTTGGCAACATTTCCCTACTGGGGACAATAAAAGTAACCAATACAGATCCCATGTTGTTGTGCTATTTATTATTACTAGATAGCCTATCATCTGGTGAAAAGATGGCTTTTGGTGTTCAGTGAGAACTCAAAACAGTGTGACTTTGTTGTATTGGTCTGAAGACAGCCGATATGATTCACTACAGAACAATGACTGTAATTCCCTGAAAACCTGTTTGTGCCACATATATGGTGTTGTGATAATGGCACAGGAAGAGAAAGGAAAATATATAATTGCCATAAACAGATAAAAAATCAAAAAGGAAAAGAAATTAAAAGAAATATTTAAAATGCAAACTGGTTATCATTCTTCATTCTTTAGACCTCAAGGGAGAATATCAAAGTCCTAGAAAACAATATATATTAAGTCTCTCCAGCCCTCTCTCTCCAAGCATGAGGGGATTTTTTACCTAAATGCTGTTTTCATATGAGCATATACTTACTGGACACAGATGTTTGCTTCTACACTCAAGTACAAGCATGCCTGGGGCTTACCTCTAGACTCTACATACATCACTAGAGTTTGCCTCTAGACTCAGTTATAAGGAATCAGGATTTACCCCTACACTCAAGTATTAGTACAACCAGCATTTGCCTTTACACTCAAATACAAGCACAACCAGTGTTTGCTTCAACACTCACATACAAGCACACGCAGGTTTTGCCCCTAAAATTAAATAAAAGGCCAACCATGGTTTATTTCTACACTCAAGTACAAACATGTCCAGAGTTTGCATATAGATTCAAGTCCAAGCACAACTTGAGTTTGCCACTAGACTCTAAAAGTGTGACCAGGTTTGGTTCTAGACTCAAGTACATGCACAAACAGATTTTGCCTCTGGAAGCACAACCAGGGTTTACCATTAGGCTCTGGAAGCACAGCCAAGGTTTACCTCTAGGCTCTAGAAGCAAAACCAGGGTTTACCACTAGGCTATAGAAGCACAGCCAGGGTTTACCACTAGGATATAGAAGCACAGCCAGGGTTTGCCTCTAGGCTCTAGGAGCACAGACAGAATTTGCCTCTAGGCTCTAGAAGCAGAACCTGGGTTTAGCACTAGGCTATAGAAGCACAGACAGGGTTTGGCTCTAGGGTCTAGAAGCACAGTCAGGGTTTGGCTCTAGGCTCTAGAAGCACAGCCAGGGTTTGCCTCTAGGCTCTGGAAGCACAGACAGGGTTTGGCACTAGGCTCTGGAAGCACAGCTAGAGTTCTAGAAGCACAGGCAGTATTTGGCTCTAGACTCTGGAAACACAACCAGGATTTGGCTCTAGGCTCTAGAAACACAGCCACGGTTTGCCTGTGGGCTCTGGAAGCACAGCCAGAGATTGCTTGTAGGCTCTGGAAGCACAACCAGAGATTGCCTGTAGGCTCTAGAAGCACAGACAGGGTTTTCCTCTAGGCTCTGGAATCCCAGCCAGGGTCAGCCTCTGGGCTCTGGAAGCACAGACAGGGTTTGCCTCTAGGCTCTGGAAGCACAGCTAGTGTTTGACTCTAGGCTCTGGAAGCACACTAGGGTTTGCCTCTAGGCTCTGTAAGCACAACCAGGGTTTGTCTCTAGGAATAGGATTTCTGATACTAACATTTACAAGTTAAGACTCCCAACCTAGATGCATAAAATGTAGGAATCAGACATAATTAATATTTTTTGTACTATTTCTTTTCTTTTGGTTGTTTGTTGTAGTTATCATGGCCATGGTCCAGATATCGTGCAGGCTCTGTCCACATGTGATCCCACCCAGCCAGTTATAGTACTTGCACATCAGCCAAAAGTTGCCAAAAAAATACTTGATTCCACTTACAAAGTCGACTTGATTCTCTCAGGTAAGTAAATTGTTGGCCTGTTTTCAGATTACCTGTATTTGATCTTTGTTTGCCGATCTTAAATATAGACATTCAAGAAAATAGGCTTTCACACTTGCACACACATAAAATATTATTATTTTCTATATAAAAATGGGGAAATGCATTATACATGGAAATAAAATATATTCCTACATTTTGAATAGAAAAATAAGGTGTAGCATTATACATGAAAACAAGTGCAAACATTAACCTTCCTGCCCACAATAAAACAGTGTAATGGTTTTTCCCTTGACACTGCTATCATTTTAACTACCTTGTCAATATTTGTCATTTTAAAAAACAATGATTAGAATTTAAATAAAACCCAAACATATGAAAATGTATTTTATACATTTTCTTTGTTCTTTGAGAATTTATAACGAAACTATTAAACACTATTCATTTGATTGCTTATTTACAAGAATAATTTTATATTTACAACATTCTAAAAATCCAAGCCCTAAAATTGTTAACCAACCAATATAATGCAATGTTTAACATTTATCAGTTTATAAAGAAATAAATATTTGTTTTATAATTCATTAATATTTTTATAGAATTATGAATAAAAACCTTGTTTTCATAGTTGTTTATAAAATGGTAAATAAAAAATATTGCATTGAAGATGGTTTACATATTTTGATAATTTTGTAGTTTTTTAAAAAGTTTTGAATAAAAAGTCTTTTCACATTTATTTATAAAGGTAAATAATAAATATCAGTTATGAATAATCAAGAGTGGTCTCCCTTTGTTTTGTTACTCTCCTCTGAGAGATTTCTGTTTACTAGGACTATAAAGGGACACTATACACAAACCTTGTATTCTCAGTTGAATAAAACTTTCTTAAAGACTACACCTGTGTTCCTTTATCATTACAATCAGATTGTACTTGGTTCACATATTTCTATAATCTTGAAAATAAACATTGCCAAGGTAGTACAAAGTGACAACAGTGTCAAGAGAAAAAAACGTCCTTTTGACACACTGTTTTTTTTTTTTTATTTTGCAGGCATGAAGGTAAAAGTTTGCCAAAATAAGATATATTCTTTCTTTTTGCATAGAAAAATATGGAATTGCATTTTATTTTTAATGAATTCATATGATGCAAGCCTGTAAAACCACTAAGATAAAAGTGGTTATTTAGTGTGAAAGAATTAGAAAAAAAAGAGGAACATTATTAATGAGTGCAAGCAATAAAAGAAGATTAAACATGAAGACAGTAGATAAAGATTGCCATTGCATTTAAATGTTTGAAGATCAAAATTGGCTGGAAAGCATGGAGCCAGAAGAGAGTTCCACAAGCAAAAAGTATGAGAAAAGAACCTGTTAGCATAGAATTTATGGTTACATCTAGCCAACTCACCTGTAAACTGATGAGACTTTGCTGCCAGTCTAGTGCTGAGCTGAAATTCATAAACTCTTGGTGCCATAGAGAAAAGTTCATTGGAACAATTACCATGGGAAAATCATGGAAGCTGAGATGCCATGTCAGAACCAATAACATAGCAGATCCTTTATCAAGAATCTTTAAATATATAACAGAAGCACCAGAGCAAATGAGGCAGAAATATTAATCCATGTATGAATAGTATACATTTAAATATGTAAAAGAGATTCTGGCATAGAAAAATAAGGGGTAGCCATATACATGAAAATAAGGGGTAGCCTTATACATGAAAATAAGGGGTAGCCTTATACATAAAAATAAGGGGTAACCTTATACATGAAAATTAGGTGTAGCCTTATACATGAAAGTAAGGGATAGACTTATACATGAAAGTAAGGGATAGACTTATACATAAAAATTAAGGGTTGACTTATACATGAAAAATTAGGGTTGACTTATACATGAAAAAAGGGATAGACATACATGAAAATTATACTTATACATGAAAAATAAGGGATAGCCTTATACATGAAAAAAAGCCTTATACATGAAAGTAAGGGGTAGCCTTATACATGAAAATAAGGGATAGACATACAAAATAAAGGGTAGCCTTATACATGAAAGTAAAGGGATAGACTTATACATGAAAATAAAGGGTAGACTTATACATAAAAATAAGGGTAAATACATGAAAAATAAAGGTAGCCTTATACATGAAAATTAGGTGATAGACTTATACATGAAAGTAAGGGATAGACTTATACATGAAAGTAAGGGATAGACTTATACATAAAAAATTAAGGGTTGACTTATACATGAAAATTAAGGGTTGACTTATACATGAAAATAAGGGATAGACATACATGAAAATTAGGGGTAGCCTTATACATGAAAATAAAGGGTAGCATTATACATGAAAATAAGGGGTAGCCTTATACATAAAAATAAGGGGTAGCCTTATACATGAAAATAAGGGGTAGCATTAGGCATGAAAATAAAATATATTATTACTTTTCATGTCAAAACCATTCAGAGTCTGTCATGGTGTATTTCTTTCTTTTTTTTTATCTTCAGGTCACACCCATGGTGGTCAGATGTTTCCATTGATGGTTGGTGCTTACCTGATCAATCCATTTTTTGCTGGGCTCTACCATTATAAAGGCCAAAGTTATGTTTATGTGTCGGAAGGGACAGTTTACTGGGGAATCCCAATGCGAATTGGGAGCACAATGGAAATTACAGAAATCACGCTGACTTCCAGATAATACACCTCCAAATATTCACACAGGTAATTAGATTATTTCATTATTGAGTTAAAAAACAAGTTTTAATAATGAGATGTAATGACACAAAAGTCTTGAAACAATGCACTGGGATTCAAAAAAGTGGACATAAAGAATTCACACGTAAAATAGAGGCCAATGAACCACGTAATTAATATTTATATTTTGTAGGCATTCAATCGTATTTATTATTCATCATAAGACACTTTTTGCTCAATATCTTTTCCTGTTGAAAATATGTTTTTAATATAATAGTGAATTGTAAATATCTCTCAGAAGAAAACGATTAACAACAGAACGACAAAGATACCAACAACAAAGACATTTTCAAAACCAAGCTGAAGCAAGACTATCATTTAATAAACAAAGGTATCTGAGTGCTTCACATGAAAGGCTTGAACAAATAAGACTGCAGTCTAAGAAAGATAAGAGTAAAGGAAACTATTAATTAAACAATTCATTTTTTGGTGGAACTAATTTTGTCTAAATGCAGACATCTATTTTATTTGTATAGATTATTAAAATGACTAAGTAAAATAATTGTAATGACAAAAGTACATAGGTGTAGGCTTTAAGAAAGCTTTATTCAACTGAAAATACACGGTTTGAGTAGTATCCTTTTAAAGTCGCAGTAAACTGCTTGACTTTTTTCCTCTTCTTAGTACTTTTCCATCTCACCAGCACGAAAGGATCAATTATAACAAATTTAGTATTGGAGAGAAGGAAATTGAACACAGGATAGGCTTCACTAGGGGTAGTTTCACACAATACCACAAGCTGCTACAAAACCAAAACATTAACCTAAAAACTGGAGTCATTAAAACTCTTAGTCTTGTCAGATCGAGACTTTCATACGGCTGCTGTGCATGGCACCAAAATCATTCAGATATGTCTAAACTGTCGTTTATATACAACAGCTTTTTCAGATCGATAGTTAAAAATGGCTTTGCACGAGTGAAGTGTGTAGGTCAATCCTTCTTCAAACCTTGTGGACTGGCATTACGGAATCACAAAGAAAGAATTGTACCAGATAACAAAAACCACCTTACTTGAGGACTCTCAGCCACAGCAACAACTAAAAGAACATATTTAACTAGAAGGTGCTGATGTTCCACAGTACCTCAAACAAATAGCAAGGAAGAAAACTCCCATCAATACTGGAAAGATCAATAACATCTACTAGATTTGAAAAACCTATTTTCCTGAAGAATTCTTTTTAAGAGAAAGATTTTTGTGGTCGGGAAAACTGAAGTAAGGGAAGTATTGTCTTAGCTCCTATGATTGTTGCATAGTCGAGTGTAGGTTTTCTGCAGTGGGCAATTACTATGAGCGCAGAAGATCAAGAAGGGAGGAAAAACGAGATTTATTGTTGACAAAGTGAACATCAAAGAACCAACAAGAAAGACAGTGAACTTGATTCTGTCACAAATGAACACAAATTACAGTTTTATAAATTAGAGTTGAAACTAGCACTGGTGATTCACTCAGTGAATGCCGAATGTTTTTGTATAAAGAAATCACTAATATTACCATTACCATTTCAGGAATACCACAAATGTAATGGCCTTGTGTCAACTAGCTTTAGATTTTTTTTAATGACACTTTTGCAACATTTCTAATTTATTGATCAACACTGAATCTTAAAGCTTTTTTAACCCAGGCAATATTTAGCAACCATGATGTTTCTAAACAAATGGTATATGTACTATGGTTGGTTTATTTATTTATTTTTCATGAGTTGGGTGGAGGGTTAGGGTTGAAAGGAAGGAATTCGAAAGAAAGGATTTTAAAAAAATTGTCTGGAAACAGAATTATCTTGACTCATCTTTAAGAAATGCAAAATAAACATGTTTACATTTTTGAATAAATCGATTTTGGGATAGATGGTATTCCTTGATTATGTATTTGTCTACATAAGAAAATTTATAATTCTTTTCTTTCCTCATGGATATATATATATATATATATATATATATAGTTAAGTTACGAAGAACTTGGTATACCGAATGGGTAATTCCAAGGAGGATGCTTAAGAGAAATATGAAATTTACCCCTCTCTATACTCTATCTTGTCTCGTTAACTACAACTATCACCCTCCCTGTTAAATTACAAAAATTACACTACCCATCAATTTCTAATCCCATTTTTCCTTTCATTTCGTTGTTGGAAGTGTTACCTGATGATCCGGAGTCCTTCAAAAAGGATTTTGGTGAAATAAATTATTGTAATGGTACCTTAAAGTGGGTCTTTCATTTATATATATATATATATATATATATATATATATATATATATATACATACACTTTTTCCATCATTACACTTTCCATTTGGTGAGAATGAGGGAGTAAAAAATCTGAAAAAAAAAAAAAAAAAAAATATATATATATATATATATATATATATATATATATATATTTTTTCCATCGTTGCACTTTCTGTTTTGGTGGGAATGAGCGTGTACAAAATTGGTCCATTATCCCAAGTGTTTTTCGCCACTTCCTTAGCCATTTTATAGGGATTTTGTTTTAGTGGTCAAAACATGAAGAAAAACTAACAACACCAAAACAAAAGCCCCTTAAGAATGTTTAAAAGGAAGTGGCCAAAAGATCTTGGAACGATGGGTGATATGGGCAGTTTTTATATTCCTTCACTCCCACCAAGCAGAAAAATATAAGAATGCTGGAAAAACTAAATAAACAAAAAAATAAATAAAAATAAGAAGAAACATTGCTTCTCAAATATATATATATATATATATATATATATATATATATATATATATATATATATATATATTCCAAAAAAATTTCGCTTGAAGATGGAACAGTGCTTAGTACTTTAATTCAATTTAATTCAAATAATTATATTGAAGTTTTGAAACATGAGAACTCTTATGTTGCGTGTTGGAATCATATTTTTAAATAAATAATTATATTTATGCTCTATTTTATATTGAGCACTATTTCTTAAAAATAATAACAAAAATACTAAAGAACTTTGGATTATTTACCTAATAAGTTCTTTCCTATTTTCTATATATTTTCACACACACACATATATATATATATATATATATATATATATATATATATATATATATATATATATATACTAGCAGTAGAGCCCGTTGCCCAGGGATGTAACAGTAAGATATAGATCAAGTATCAACCATCATAAAGACTGAAAAATAAAATTGACAAAGATTATTGTTTAAGGTTGACGTACACGCATGTCTTAATTAGTTTTATTTTATTTTGTTTTTTTGTTTTTGTTTTTTTTATGAATTGGTCAAACCCAAACTCAAACAAAAACATTGTTTTCAATCGTTATGAGTCTACCGATTGAATAGAATTTTATTATAAACAATTGTCTTGTAAATGGAATTTTTAAAGCATTCTGAATGTAAAAATAAAAAAAAAAAAGTGTGCAAGACAATAAGAAACACTACCAAAAAAAAAAGTGAAGTTTTGTTGAAATTGGTTGAAAAATGTAGGAAATCCGATCCCATATATAAAGGAACACACACACACACAGACACACACACACAAACAACCAACCTGGGTTTTATAATAAGTATAACTCGATAACAATAAGTATAACTCGATATGAGTTGTCCCCCTTTCATTAATGCCTTTTAATGGTGTTTTCAAATTGTTTTTAGGCAAAAACAATTGTGTTTTTCCAATTTTTGGTGCTGTCAGAACCACCGCAAGGTAATTTTATGTAGTCCTGTGAAGTTTTGTTGAAATCAGTTGAAAAATGTAGGAAATCTGATCCAATATATAAACGTACAGACACACACACAATCTGTATATATATATATATATATATATATATATATATATATATACTGTATATTTCTGCATATAAAACAACCTCAAAAATGACCCTTAAAAATTGGGAGTCGTCTTCTACTAGATCTCTAAAAAAAACCTTAAATTCTGACTGATGTTTGTCAATAGGCTAACCCTGCTGTGATAACTAATAATATACATGAAAAAATTCACATTATCAAATAAACGGATAATAAAAGTAATAAAACCATTTCTACCTCATATATTACTGGCATAACTTCATAATAAATTGCCTATTTGAAGAATAATTCCATATCAATGAAATCAACTTGTATCTATGCAAGCTCAGCTGAGAGAATGTAAACATCAAATTATGATTCCACTCACCGAAAACTTTATCTTTTGCTAAACTTTCAATAATCATCATGGTAGTGTTAATTATGGCAGCAATAAAATTTTGGATAACATAATTCATTGTCCTTTTAATAGTAACATGATTTAGGATTAGATCTAAACTTTTTTTGTGATTGTCAATGAAGTATAAGTAAATGGCCATTAGTACACCAGGCTGTTTGTAATTGTCTCGGAAAGGAAGAGGAAGAAGAATCAGTATTTGCAAGAGATCACGTGATGAAACGTAAAGAAAACAATGGTTTCCCTATTGGGAGACAGTTTTTGTTGGGGGCTGTAAGGGATAGAGGGAGGTGGAGTGCTATGATTGCTTACATCCTGAAGGAACACGTCACATAGAAAGAAAGTGTAGAAAAAACATGATATAGAATCATTTTGTTATTTCATTTCTGTTGAATTTCTAAGGATACAATAAGTAACAACATTTCTAATAACATCATCTTTATATAGTCAATAAGCAGTCATCTTTTTACGACAGGTATAGGATAAATTCATGAAAATTTGCTATATTTTTTATCTCGTCTTATCTAAAGGTCGCCTTATATGCTGAAATATACAGTGTGTGTATATGTATATGTATATATATATATATATATATATATATATATATATATATATATATGAAGAAAATTTGGAAAAACAAACAAAATCCTTAAATGCAATTATGTTGTTTAAAATGAATGAAATGTCGACGTCTGACGTTTCGGTTTAATAAACCTTTTTCAAGACAATATTCATTAAAATACAATTCAGTTCAATTTGACAAAGACGATG